CCTCACGGTCCGCCGCACAGCCTCACGGGACTTGTAGTCCTCAGGGCACCCGCGTGCTGGTTCCCGGCGGCGGCCGGACTGCAGCTCCCGGTAGGCATCGCGCGGCGGAGCGAGGCATGCCGGGATTCGTAGTTCACATGGCGCCGACCGTGGTCGGCTTTGGGGGGTCTGGACAGCTCATTTCTCGGTCAACTCGAAGAGGACTAGTTCCCCAGACAGTTGAGAGCTGGCGGGAGTCTTTCAGAAGGGGATGTGGAGCCTGGGGGCTCGCTTCTGCGGTTTTCCGTAGTCCTAGGGACCTGTACGGCGGTCCCGGACTGCACTGGACCCACGGGCCGCCCCCCTGTACCCTCACAGGCCCGTCCCACACCCCATCACTCTCAGCGCCGCAACTCTATCGGTGCCAGCCTCGTCCCCGGTGGTAGGTGGGGGCTAAGGCACAGAAACGAGGATTAAGTCGGCCAGGGTTACCTGGTCTGTAAGTGGCATAGCCGGGTGAGGAGCCGGGCCAATTCCCACCCACTCTGCCACGCCTGTATGAGGTGTGGGGTCTCCCAGGCGAACACCCCTTGCCATCCAGTGCAGGTGCTTGGTACTGGAATGAATGGGTGTGCAGCCACCACACCTCCTTGCAAAGGCTGGGTGAAGAGCTGCAGATCTGCTTGCTTCTGGGGCATTAAGTGCACTGCTGTCTGGTTGCTTGAGGCTAGGCTTGGTGGTTCACCGTCTTCTGGAGGTACCTCATCCTGGGAGGAGCCTTGAGAACGGAGAGGTAGACGTCCTGAGATCCCACATGGCAGGTCTCTCTCAGTGCAGGTGGTCTCGGGGAGCTGTGCTGGATGGCAGTTGAGAGAATGTGTTGGAGAAGCATTTGGAGAGACACTCGGTTGGCCTTGGTGACTGACTGGATCCTCCACAAACGGCCCTTTCCAGAGTTTCAGAGGTAGCAGCACTCTCAGGACGTGTGCACTGAAAAGTTCTGTGGCCCTATACTTGAGGGTTCCGTTCAGTGGGGACAAATCCAGACTAAATGTATCTGAAAGGCAATTGAAATCTCATACATCACTTGGGTGCTAGATGGGAAAATGGGCTCACTTTGAATAGTCCATGTGGCCTTCAGGCCAGCAAACAAATGGCTACAGAGCCAGTGCTGTGATGGGAGGGCTACCCTAACAGACAGTCCTAGAGCACCAGGGGCCTGCTCTTTGGGGCCAGGCCCAGAGGGGTTTCATGGCAGGACTCTGCAGAGATATTTTTAGTGTCAGTATTTCCTCTCTGAAAGTTGCCTGTGTGGATCCTGTGTTTGACCTTAGAAGGATGTACTTATTGTTTGTGAAAACAGACCTTTTGTTCCTGCTGCTGGTGGGAAGTCACAGCTTCTGTAGGAGTACTTAGCCTAGGCGACCACAAAGCCAATGTGCTTGTCCACGAATGTGCTTGTTAACAGTGTCCTTTGAAAACAGGCTTCTCCCATTTCCTCTTCCATTGCCCAAGTATTGGCATCCAGGAAACCTCAGCTGTTCTGTTCTTGGCGAGTACTTTTCCACTCTTGCTCGGGGACTCCCATGTCAGCTGACTGATTCACCTCTGGAAACATGGGGACACTGTATTTATCAGCACATAGTCAGAATCTGGATGTGCAGGCAGTGGGGAGGGTGGCCCCTGAGAGGGAGGGAAAGCAGGAAAGGGCCCTGGGGTTGTGGTGTACACTGGGCTGAAACAGCAGAGTGTAGAAGTGCTCCTGGGCCCAGATGGACAGGAAGGTGTGGCTCAGGTGCCGAAGGTTAAGCAGGTGACCTGTGGAAGCTCCCTCCAATCCTTAGGTCGTCATACTGTGGGCCCAGACTTGCTGGGCAGGAGCTGGGCTGAAGACCCCACCCCCACCCCCCAGGAACATCTGTCTTGCAGGAATCATGGTTGGCTACAATTAAGTTTCTGGGTCCCTGAGAATGCCCTAGACATAGGCTTCCACTGCTCTGGGCCCTGAGGTTATTCTGGTTGAGGATCTCACTGCAAGCTGTGACCCCATGAGCACCCTAAGCCCCTTCTGTTTCCTCATGGCAGAGGAATTGGAAGTGCCTCCCTTTGAAGGGCTCTGGGGGCGGCACTTTACCAGGAGTCCGTGTTTCCCAGAAACCACCCTGCCTGCCCCCACTAGAGTCCCATACACCCCAGCATATCCTGTTTGGGGCATGACTTCAAATTAACACCAAAAACATGGGTGCTGTGACCTGGAGATTTGCTTGTAGTAACTTGATGAGTCTCTTACACTCCATCTTCCTTCTTTTGCATCTTCTGTCTTCACAAAGCGGTTTATTCACAGAGGTGAATCAGGCAAGCGTTTTAATGAGACTGTGGGCTGGGCCAGATTTGGGGCAGGGAGGAGGGATCAGGAGGCTTAGCACTGTGAACCAGGGGTTGAGATTAAGCTGTGAAAATGTCCACTAAACTGAATGTGGGCTTGGCCTCGGCAGACAAAGTAAGGCTGCGGGACCGTCATGCTTGAATAAAGGAGCAACAAATATCGCAAAAAGTGGTTTGATTTTTGGTAAATGCGAGAGCGTTGGCTTTTGGATGCCTTGGTGTTACGGATTCATGTGTTGACTTGAATCTTTGCTCTCATGTATTCATTCTATATTTTCTTACGAAACAACCATTTGAAAATAACTTCAGCCTTCTTGCTTTCCTGGTGAGAGATTTTTCTCACTAGAAATGCAATTCGTTGAAGTCATTTTATAGCACTGAGCTTTTGGTTTCTCCTAGTTGTTCCCGGTCCTTGGAGTCTGAACACACGGTGCCCTCTAAAGTGCCCTTTCTCTGCCTGGAATGACAGCCAGGCTTGTCCTTGATGGCCTTTCCTGGACCTCTTGGTGGCTTTCCCCGAAGTGCCTCTGGGGAACAGAGCCTGCTTCTTCCTGGCCTGGAGCTCAGTGTCGGAGCCACAGGGCTCTCAAGGACATGGGGACATTGTCCCGTGGGGCCTTGGCCTGACTTTCTGGGGCAAGGATACCTCTGCTGGCTCAAGGCGTTCCCCAGGGCAGGAGCCGCTGCTGCCCTGTTCCCTTTGTTGGTGAGCACCACACGTCCCCTATGCAACCCAGAAGGTGCTGCCCACCCCTCTTCCAGACAGGTGGCCACTTGTGTGCGTCCTTGAGAACTACTGATGCGTGTCTCTCGGTTGCTCTCAGAATCAGAATTGGAGCTGCATTTACTCTAGGGACTGGTGACAGCCAGATACACCCAAAGACCCCGCAGTTTTCTTTCTGCTTTAGGACTTGCAACAGGGAGGGAATCTTGTTTGTGGGTTGGTTAGAGACCCGAAGGGAGTGAAATTTCTGAGGAAAGACACATTCAGTTTGAGAGTTCATTTTCCCTTTCTTCTGTTTTGTGCCCACAGAGCTGTTAAGTTCGGGTAGTGCCAAATGTAACGTCTTATCCACAGAGACTCCTGTCCTCAAGGAGAAGGCTGTAGCCAAAGTGCTGAATGCCCCAGCGAGCTCCTGGGAGGATGAGCCTTTGGGTCTCCTTCATCCTGGTTCTGAATCATGCTTGGTTGATGTCTTCCCCTGTAGGTGGATCACTAACCAAGCTTGCCTACTATTCAACAGTGCAGCACAAAGTGGCCAAAGTGAGGTCCTTCGACCACTCTGGAAAGGTGAGCCTTGCTTCAGTCATCCAAGTGGAGCTGCGGGCAGGGCAGGCCGCTCTTCTGTGGCCTTGGACTTGGCACTGTCACTTTTTATTTGTTGTCCCTCTGCTGTTTGTAAGCATCCACTCAGCTGTCCTGGAAGTGCCCAGTAAAGGCTTCTCTGTCCTCCCTTGCTTCCCTCATTCAGCCTGGCAGGGATAGCGCCCTTGCCCTGCCCCTTGGGAAGTGTCCTTCCGCTAGCCCCGTCAATATCAGGGCCAGAACTGCTGGGGCAGGGTGCTCAAGGACGGCACAGGCTCATTGGCCCCCGCATCTGGTGAAGATTTTCCAACTTGTTTTCCAGGACACTGAGCAGGACCATGAGCCCCCCTATGAGGTCTCAGTTCAGGAAGAGATCACAGCTCGTCTGCATTTCGTCAAGTTCGAGAACACCTACATCGAGGCCTGCCTGGACTTCATCAGAGACCACCTGGTCAACACAGAGACCAAGGTCCTCCTGGCCACTGGGGGCGGGGCCTACAAATTCAAGGACCTCATTGAGGAGAAGCTGCAGCTGACGTAAGCAGAGACCTGGGCCTGAGAAGGCAGTTGCTTTCGTGGGTGCAGCACAGGTGGGAGTGACCTGTACCGCAGTGGGCCGCTCTGCTCCATTGTGGTTTGTCCCCTCTGGGCTGCTTCCTTTCCAGAGTAGACAAGGAGGACGTGATGACCTGCTTGATAAAGGGGTGCAACTTTGTGTTGAAGAACATCCCAAACGAGGCCTTCGCCTATCAGAAAGATGCCGAGCCAGAGTTCCGCTTCCAGACAAACCACGCCAACATATTCCCGTACCTCCTGGTCAATGTTGGCTCTGGGGTCTCCATCGTGAAGGTGAGACTGCTTCCTGCAGCCAGCAGGAGGGTGGTAGGCAGATGCTTTGTGGCCCCTGCTGCCCATCCCGAGCACGTGTCCTCAGGGTGCTTGGGTGGGGCGATGTGTGGCCCCGTGGCTGAGGGCCCTGCCTGGCACTATCCCAGGTGGAGACAGAGGACCAGTTCGAGTGGATTGGCGGCAGCTCCATTGGCGGTGGCACCTTCTGGGGACTTGGGGCACTGCTTACCAAGACAAAGGTATCTCCTGGGTCAGCAGAGGCCTGTATCTGGACTGCTGCAGAGAATGCCTTCTTGGCCCTTGTGCTGACTGTTTCTGGGATCTCAGGACCCCCTTGCTGAGTGGTTTGCCCTCTGAAGGGTGTGGGTCCAAGCTGCCAGAGCAGCCTGGCAGGCAGCCCACTGTGTCTGGCTAGCCTTGCCTGCCTACAGTCCCAGTAATAAGGGAGGCACTTGGGCCCATCCTGGCTTCCTAACCTTTACGAACTTGGTTTTGGGGTGGTGGTGACCCCCTAGCAGACACCCCACTGTCTGCTCTGCCTCTACAGAAGTTTGACGAGCTGCTGCACCTGGCCTCCAAGGGCCAGCACGCCAACGTGGACATGTTGGTGCAGGACATCTATGGCGGCGCTCACCAGACACTGGGGCTCAGCGGCAACCTCATCGCCAGCAGCTTTGGGAAGTCAGCCACGGCTGACAGAGGTGCCCGGGCCCTGCCCCACTGGGAGGGGCTCACGGACCTGAGAACAGGCCTCGCAGGTTGACCCTGGAACCGCTCGGTCCACACTCTTGCAATCCCATCTGTCTTTGCTTTGAGGGGATGGGGCAGGAAAAGTAGTTTGAAAGCAGGTCCCTGCCTGCAGGCCGAGTCACGAGCCAGGGGCCCTCGGAGCGCCCTGCAGTCCCAGTCTCCCACCCACCACTGCCCTGTCACACCCGGCCACCCCAACCAGTGCGGCCTGTGCTTCCCCAGAGTTTTCCAAAGAAGACATGGCCAAGAGCCTGCTGCACATGATCAGCAATGACATCGGGCAGCTCGCCTGTCTTTATGCAAGGCTCCACGGCCTGGACAGAGTGTACTTCGGGGGCTTCTTCATCCGGGGCCACCCTGTGACCATGCACACCATCACCTACAGCATTAACTTCTTCTCCAAGGTGACTGCAGCTCCAGCCTGCCTGGCCTGGGCACCCCAGTCACTCAAACAAGCTCCTGTGCCATAGACATGCCAGCTGCTGATGAAGCCATGGCTTGGGCACTATGCCCATGGAGCTGGGCTGGGGGTGGGGCCACTGACCCTGGCAGCTGGGCTCCCTGGGAGTTCTGGTGCTCCGCTGCCTGGACCTTGCTCTCACCCGCCTTCCCCTCCTGGCTGGTCATGGGCATCCTGCACATTGTGTGTGAGCACTTTACCTTCGACAGTCATTGTGGGGGCTGTCCCTCACTGCCAGCGAACGTCATGTGGGCCTGACGTGTGGAGCCTGTCCACTGGCTGCAGATAGGCACGCCAGGGACAGGCCATGCCAGGTGCTGTCAAAGGCATTGCCTGAGTAGCCTGGCACATCAGATGGGCCGGGTGGGTGTTAAAGTAGGAGAGGCACCGTGTGCCAGCACCCCCAGCCCCTCAGACAGCAAGTTGCTCCGTGTTTGAGTGCAGTCTGTTGCCGGTTATGTGGATGGCTCTGGAGCTTGGCCCAGTGGTGCAGGTGGGGAAAGCAGTGCTGACTGTGGACCCTGACCAGCTTCCTGTGGGCTGGGCATGACAGGGTGAAGTGCAGGCGCTGTTCCTGAGACACGAAGGCTACCTGGGGGCCATCGGAGCATTCCTGAAAGGAGCCGAGCAAGATAGTGAGTAGAGCGCCTCGTGCTCCGGGTGCTTGCAGGTGGCCCCTGGCTGTGCTGCAGGGCCAGGTGGGCTGGGGAGCACAGGGCCTCAGGATGCCACAGGGATGTGTTTTTAGTGTTCGTGCAGACAAGTGAGTCTGTCCATTTTCCTTCCTTGCTTTCCCCTTTTGAACCAAAGCAAGGCTAACATGGTAGCCGGCATCTTGCTTTTCCAGATCCTAACCAGTACAGCTGGGGCGAGAACTACGCGGGCAGCTCTGGCCTGATGAGCACATCACCCGAGCTGTGTCTGACACAGCGGGCACGGAGTGGCACAGTGAGTCATGGGCCCTGCCTGGAGTGACCAGTGCCTTTTCTTGTCCTCCCTATTGTGGCCTTTACAAAAGTGGTTTTTAACCTAACTGCTCTTGGGCTGAACCTGGTAGAAGGAAGGTACAGAAGCCCTTTTCCAAGACTCAGCAGAGCCTGGAGCCTGCCCTCCAGGCCCTCGTATGTGCCAAGAGCACTGAGGTCAGGGAAGGCAAGGGACGTCTCCTCCACCCTCATCCCTGCAAACCAAAGTGTTCCTAACGGAGCAGGGCCCCCTTCCAAGTGTGTGTCATTTGGGCAGTCACTGGAGAGCGGGGAAGGTGTGCCCACAGTAGAGCGCGTGCAGGCTGCCATGTGCACGCCACTCCAGCTCCTCCTGGCCAGGCGACTCGTGGCTCCAGGAGCACTTGTGTTGTTGGTGCTGGTAGCCAGGTCCTCCCTGGTTGTGGCTCAGGGCCAGGATACAGTGAGAATTAAGCAGGGCAGCAAGATGGAAGGTCAGAATGGCGCGGGCACTTAGGAGTCCTCGGCAGCAGGAAAGTGGCCTATCGAGGACCGGGGGACGTGGGCATCGAGGTTCGGAGAAAATAGCAGAAGCTGGCACCAGAATATCCCAGGATGCCACAGGGGAGGTTAGGGTGGGAGTTGGCTAGAAATCCCCCAAGCACACCCACCGCTGGGGCTGGCCTGAGTCGAGGTGGCCTGGACAGCAGCAGCCTGGCACACAGATCACAAAGGGTCTGAGGCTGCACCACAGCAGATCGTGGGAGCCTTCTAGCTCTATGCTGGAAGCAGTCTCTGCTCATCCTCTCAGTTTGACCTGCTGGAAATGGACCGGCTGGAAAGGCCCCTGGTCAACCTACCCCTCCTCCTGGACCCATCCTCCTACGTGCCTGATACAGTGGACCTCACAGATGATGCCCTGGCCCGGAAGTACTGGCTCACCTGCTTCGAGGAGGCCTTGGATGGGGTACGTGAGGGCCAGGGACAGGAGGGAGAGGACAGAAGGCTAGTCCATTTGGTGGTGAGAATGGCTTCCGTGTTTTGGCAAAAACCACCTTCAGGTGCACAGTGGGTCATTGAGTAAGGATGGGCACCAGGGGCGGTTTCTGTGGTGACACCATGCCCTTACCACCTTTACGGTGTGGACTTGCGTGTGGCCTTTGGGCGCCTAAGTTTTGAGGGTGTGGCAGTCCCAGGAGATGCCACCAGGACTTGTGTCCTCTCCCCTTTTCTGAGATTGGGCCCATGCCTGGTGACCACCCCAGCACAGCAGGGCCGAACCCTGAGCTCAGGCCATGGTGCGCTGTAGGATACCACCCCACCCTGGCCTAGGTAGCAGGAGAAGGGGCCAGGGGAGCCCTTATTGCTATCAGTGCCCAAGGCCTGCAGTTGCTGCAAGAGCATGCAAACCCTGCCTAGGCCTGTGCCGCTTCAGCCTACTATTGCCTGGGCACTTGCTGAGTCCCAAGGTGGGCACCATCCCCACTATCCTGCTGTTGGCAGGTGGTGAAACGCGCGGTGGCCAGCCAGCCCGAGTCGGTGGATGCGGCTGAGAGGGCCAGGAAGTTCCGGCAGAAGTACTGGAGTAAGCTTCAGACGCTGCGGCACCAGCCCTTGTGAGTCCCGTCTGTGCCCACCTCTTCCTGCACCCAGGGCCAGTGCCGAGCCATTGGTGTGGGGCCCGTGACCCGGAGGACACAGTTGTCTGGCCACCCTCACGGGGACGCCAGAGTATCCCGGGCTGTGCCGTGCTCAGCCCTCTGCCCCCACTTCACCCCCAGCGCTTACGGGACACTGACTGTGCGCAGCCTGCTGGACACGAGGGAACACTGTTTGAACGAGTTCAGCTTCCCAGATCCCTACTCCAAGGTAAGCCCGCACGTGTCGATGGCCCGCTGGCTCCAATGATTGGTGCAGGGACAGAGGGCTAAGTGGCGTCCCACCCTGCCTGGGCCCCACAGGCTTTTGAGCAGCTCTGGGTCAGAGAAGGAGCCCGCTGAGGGCCAGGCAGGCACCCACGAGGTCCAGTGCCTGAAAGACCCGTTGCGGCATGTGTGTGTAGGCACACGGGGGCACAACATGTGCCCCTGGTCCCTCTCTCTACACTGGGTGTGCCAGGGCCTCCATCTTCTCCCCAGGCAGTGTGGGCCGTGTGCCCTGAGGTTGGCATCAAGCCACGGCTCTGGCCTCAGAGTCTGTGCCAAGGCCTGGGGTGTGTCCTCGGCCTTTGTCCCTTGTGCGGATGCTGCTCCGTGTCTTTCGGGCCCCACGCTTGCAGTACTACAGTGTCGCGCTGCCCAAAATGGGCATGTTTAGCCATGGACAGCCCAGGCGGTTAGTGCCACATTGCCTGTCCCTGGTCCCCTCAGCGGGCTGTGTCCTTCACTGCCCTGTGTGGAGCGCAGAGCTGGCCGGGGCCAGCACACGTGTCTCCACTCAGCTGTCCTGTGTCTCTGCAGGTGAAGCAGAAGGAAAATGGCATCGCACTCAGGTGCTTCCAGTGCGTGGTCCGAGCCCTGGACGCACTGGGCTGGGAGGAGAGGCAGCTGGCGCTGGCAAAGGGGCTGCTGGCGGGCAACGTCTTTGATTGGGGGGCCAAGGCCGTGTCCGAGTAGGTGTCACAACTCTGCCCGGCCTGGCTCTTGCTTTGCCCTCACAGCTGCTCAGAACTGGTTCATTCCGCAGCTCGGGTGTCCCTGTCCTAACCCCAGGCGGCCCCTTCCTAAGCATAGGCACCTTGGGGACCTGGGACTGCAGATCTGAAGTCTGACACTAACATTCCAGTGGTCAGTCTACACCCATATTTACCACGTGGAGTAGGGATTTGGTGGCATTTCCTATGCAGGGGGAAAGGTGCTGGGCAGAGGGTCAGCCTGCTCTGATGTGTAGGGTGCGCATTTCCTGAGGTCCATCTGGAACCCTCTCCTGGGTTCTTGGTCTGTGGGTGACCAGAGTAAATGCTTTCCATAGCACTTTACCATAATGGGGGGGCTTCACGGGTGGCAAATCCCTTCCGCCCTCGGCTAGAGGGAGGCACTGGTTCCCCATGGTACCCCCAGGGCTCCCCACACATGGGGAGGGCCTTCTTGTCCCTCTTGGGGACACAGACGTGAGCAGGGCTGGCTGCATCCCCACCATACCCTTCACAGCTGTCCCTCTGGCAGGCAGGCCATGTGCACATTTAAGGGTCCTCCCCACTGCACAAAGTGCCTGCTTCCAGGGCTGCCGGGTGCAGGACACCCAGCACCAGCTCAGGGTCAGCCCAAGAACCTTGCCATGGATTCCATGGTGTCGCTCTGCAGGCCCAGTGACCCAAGGCCCGGCTGCAATGGCCATGTGGCCTGGGTGGGAGTCAGGGGCAGCACATTTGCCTGTAGGGAGAGGTTTTGCTTCTCGGGTGTGCACCTGAATTTCTTTCCTCCTCTGTGCAGTGTCCTTGAATCTGACCCCCAGTTTGGGTTTGAAGAAGCGAAAAGGAAGCTACAAGGTACAGCACCCCAGGGCCCTTGACATCCTTCAAGGGGCCATCTGCAGGGGACCTGGTCTGTGAGAGTGCTGGGTGGCCAGCCAGGGTGCAGGTGCTGGGCCCTTGACACAGCCCTACAGTCGGGGCCAGGAGTAGGGGACCAGCCCCCCAGGACTCGAGTGGTGGAGACCAGTCTCCCCTTGTGCACCTGATTACTGTCCCTTCTGTGCACAGAGCGCCCATGGCTCGTGGATTCCTACAGCAAGTGGCTTCAGAGATTAAAGGTACGTGGAGGTGCCCGCCCTGCCCACGAGAAACAGAGTGGTCAGTGGGAGGTGGGCCCAGGTGGGGATCCCAGAGAGGCATCAGGCCATTGGGAAGTGGGTGAAGAGCTGCCCCCACAGCAGGCAGTGCACTTAGAAGCCTCAGTGTCCTGGCTGAGAACACCTGTCCATCATCCCTGTGCCCTGCCTGCCCTCCTGCAGTGGCCGCTCAACAGCCAGCTGACCTCAGTGCAGAAGTCTTGGGGCCACCATGTGGGAGGAGCAGGCCCAGGCTCCTAAGGCTGACCTGTCCCAGCCCCTGCTGCATCCCAGGACCACGAGGCCCTGCTAGCCCCTGTGGGGATGTGGGGGTGGGGAGTCTGCAGCGCTCGGATGCACTGTTCCCAACTGAACGTCCTGGTTTTGTCTTACAGGGGCCCCCTCATAAATGTGCCTTAATTTTCGCAGATAACAGTGGAATAGACCTCATTTTGGGAGTCTTCCCCTTTGTCAGGGAGCTACTCCTTAGAGGGACGGAGGTGAGTGCAGAGGCCACAGCAGGGACCCTTCCCCGGGCTCCTTGCTCCGGGTGGGCTGGTGCTGCCGTGGGCTTCCGGCAGCAGGTAGGTACCGGAGAAGCCAGGAGGGGCCTGGGGGCCCTGTGCTGCCGCTTCCTGACCCCCACCCCAGAAAGGTGTTCACTGCAGGCCCAGACAGAGCCTCCCGGGCGCCCAGGCGAGTGTGCCATGGCCGGCTGGGAACTAAGCCAGAGCCTCCCCTGCAGGTCATCCTGGCGTGCAACTCGGGCCCCGCCCTGAACGATGTCACCTACAGCGAGTCTCTCATCGTGGCTGAGCGCATCGCAGCCATGGACCCCATCATCCAGTAGGTGCCGGGGGCCACTGGGTGGGTCCTGGGAGCTGCAGAATGGGGTCCCCAAGAGGCCTCCTCACAGGACACTGACCTCCTCATGTTCTGCAGCTCTGCTCTCCAAGAAGAGAGGCTGCTACTGGTGCAGACGGGATCCAGCTCCCCGTGCCTCGATCTCAGGTAACCACTCTTTCCCTGGCACTGGGTGGAAGGTGGCTCAGTTTCCATGCAGCCATGCTGTGTGGCCCTAGGATCCTGCCTGGCCTGGCCTCAGTTTCCTTGAATGGGTGGTAAGGTGCTGTTCCTCTTCACAGCTGGGGTTGGTGAGTCGGGTGGGGCATGAGGCTTCCAGAGTCAGAAGTTCGGCTGGCAGCAGAGGTGGAGGGAGTGAGGGCCTCTGGGTCACAATGTTGGCAGGGAGGAGCAGGGTTCAGCATGAGCTCTCCTGGCCCAGTTGCCAGGTGGGGCTAGACGTAGATGCTTGGGGGTCCCCGGGTCTTCCCTGGTCCCTGCCCAGCCTCACAACCACCTTCCTTCCCCAAGCCGCCTGGACAAGGGACTGGCCGTGCTGGTACGGGAGCGCGGTGCCGACCTGGTGGTCATCGAGGGCATGGGCCGTGCCGTGCATACCAACTACCACGCAGCGCTGTGCTGCGAGAGCCTCAAGCTGGCTGTGGTCAAGAATGCCTGGCTGGCTGAGCGGCTGGGCGGCCCGCTCTTCAGTGTCATCTTCAAGTACGAGGTTCCGGCCGAGTGAGGCTGCCCCGCCAGACCACCTGCTGTCCCTTTTGGGCCCATGCTTTTCCTCGGTGAGGAGCCTGAGTCACCCCGGAGCAGGGCAACTCTGCCATGCTGGTGATGGACAGCGTGCGCGCCAGGCTGCATCACAGAGCTGTCCTGTGAGATGCTTGGATTGAAGTGTATTTAACTGTTAAATAACCTTTTATATACACACACACACACACACATAAACATAAACATAAGTACCTAACGCAGGTCTGCTGGCGTGCGTGCATGGGGTGCAGGGCCAAGCCATGTGCCTGCCAACCCCCGGCCTCCTGCAGGGCTTGCCCCCAGTCCCCATCTCCCTCCTCCTTCCTCCAGGGTCTGCGTGCCTGCCTGCACATGTCTCTGTCTCCTCCCATCCACTTTGCTCCTGGGGAAGCAGCGGGGGCTGAGCAGCTCTCCTGGCTTGAGAGCTGCAGAGAGGAGGCTGCGATGGCACTGATGGCCCTCAAGGGCTCAGGCTGACAGCTTGGAGCTGCCGTGTGGGTTTTGTTGTTGGGGCCAGAGCTGGGCCTCAGATTGCTTTGAGAGCCTGCAGTGCATCTGGCCTGTTCTCCGGGTGTGACCTGAGGACCTGTTCACACCCTGCACCAAGGTCCCACCCAGAGCAGTATGGCAGGCAAGCTGTGTGCACAGGACAGCACCGGAGAGCTGAAGGCCCAGAGCTGTGAGCACTGCAGGGCAGGTTCTGCCTCTCTTCTGTGCCGCCCTGCACACATAGATGCAGAGGGCCTGCAGCCCAAACCAGGGTGTGGCCCTAGGTGAGACCAGGTAGGCATCTGGCCTCACCAGCCCTTACACCTGGGGCAGGGCTTGGCCACCCCCTGCATTTTAGGCCCCAACACCTCCCGTGGCGGCCACCAGGAGCAGCAGGTGCCACCCTGGACAGTCCTGGTGCCTGGGCAGCCTGCCTTGTCTTGAGGTTTCTCCTTTGCTATGGACCTAGGACAGAGCCCCACTGCTTCCAATCTGGCTGTGGACCTAGAGTCAGCAGGCCACAGCTAGGGCCAGTATGCAGGGCTCCCTGGGCCCCCGTCCTTGGGCTCTGCATGGCCTCCTGACCTCTGGCCCCACTGTCCCGGGCTGGTCTGGAGCACATCCACTTGGGGAGGCACCGACTACATTGGCTCCCCTGGTGGTGCCCATAGGGTGCCCATGGAGCCCAGGCTGGGCCCCAGGAGGTGATGTGAGGAAGAACAGGCTCAGAGGCAGGGACAGCCAGGACAAGGACTGCAGCTTAGGCAGGCCCCTGAACACCCTGGCACACATCTCTATCTTCGTGCCCTTCTCCCAGCTAGGGCAGGAAGGAGCTGTGCACAGGCACAGCGGTCACCCTCAGCCCCAGCTCAGGCTCACGCAGGGGGACCTCAGCCCATCTGAGTGTGGGGTAGGTGACGCCATCCGCCATGGCTGCCCACAGCAGCCCTCCAGAGGCCTATGCTACCCTGCATTGGGCCAGTGGCTATGTCTGAGCATCCCAGCCCGGAGGACAGTGCTTTTTCTGCTTCAGCCCTGGTCTATGGCAGACTCACATCCTTTCGAGTGGCAGGGGCTGAGGCTTTGCACATAGTGGGGCACAACCCCCCCTTACCCCCCCTGCTTTCCTGAGCCCTGGGATGGGCAGGGGACAGGCCTGGAGCAGCATCCCAGCCCAGCCACCACCCAGCCTTCCAGAGCAGAGCTGGGGCCTGCTCCCTGGAAGAAATGGCCACTGAGTCACCTGGGTACCATGCTGGGACCGCCTTGGAGTGGCCCAAAAGGACGCGGAAGCAGGCATAACGTTTTTATTGGAGCTGTGTCCAGTTCACAGTTCAGACAGCCCCGCTGGAAGATAGTTGTCCAGGAACAGGGCACAATCAGGGTGGGGACGGGGACAGATAGTAGTTCAGTGCAGCAGGCATTCCCAGGGACAGGTTCACACCCAAGACAGAAACGCTCACCACAGGCACCCAAGAGCCAGACAACAGGGAGGACAGAGGGAAGCGTTTGGGATTACTTCAGTGCCAGGACTTCTGCCTTAAACTTTCACCTGTACACATCTGAGCTCCTGCAGGCCCGGAGCAGAGGGGTTTGGGCTCCAATGCCACCCTTGCTTGCTCCCCAGGCAACTGCTGGGTCCCCAACACCAGCAGCAATGTGGCCTCAGAGCCTCAGCAGGAGCAGGCTCTCAGCAGCACCAGGCACCTGCTCTGGGGTGCCATCAGGAGGGCCTGTGGCGTCCACACAGCCCTCGAGGCCCACCGAGCAGGCACCCTCGGGGGCACCCCGCTCCTCCTCTGGGGGTGCCTGTGGGTCCAGGTTCCGACACCGCTGCTGCCGCTCTTGGGCCTGGCGGGCCCGGCTGGCAATGGCGCGCACTCGGCTCTGGCTGCGGGAGGAAGAGCGGCGTAGGAAACTGGGGTCCCGCTCTGCCCTGTCTCCGGCTGGGCCCAGGCTGGTGGCTGATGTGATGTCCCCGGCCTGCTGGAAGCCTGTGAGCCAGCGCAGCTGCTCCGTCAGAGTGTCCCGCTGTGTGGAGCCCCGGGGTCCCAGGCCCCGGCCCAGGCTGCGGGAGCTCCCCTTGAAGCTGGGGGCAAAGTCATCCGCTGTCAGGTCCCCGAGGCTCTTGGACTTGGCCGCTGCTGTGCAGTCCTGCAGACCCACCAGGGCAAGGCGGCCCCGGGAGGGCCAGGGGCGCGGGCCAGACAGTCGCGGCGCCAG